AAGGGGAATATTGTTTGTTTTTAGTGGGTAGGCAAAACAAGCTGCAAGACGAGAAAGGGAAATAATTTGTGGCGTCGAATTTGTAGAATGTAACGTAGAGAAGAGTCAGAGAAAAGATTTGAAACTAGGTAGACGTTTTTGCGGACTAAGAGTAAAATGAAATCAACCGAAAGATGTAGAATGTGGAGGCAATTTTGAATCAAAAAGTCGATTCAATTGTTTTTTTTTGTGATGTCTTAAGACCAGTCAAAGTGATGATACTCTTTGCAATAGCAGTTTTGACAGAGTAGTCATTAGAAGATTTGTATAGATACCAGAAACTTTTGTTTCTGGTATCTCTTAATAATTATTTTATGATTCTCTTTTCATTATTGGTAAAAAACAGCACATATAACATTCAGCTATTAAGTACATATTATATTTCAGTTACTTTTCAGAATTAGTTGTAATGTCAAAATAGATTTAGAGTTTCTAATTTCTCATTTAATTTTTCTTGATTTGAACTTTTATGTTATTAGGTGTTGTGTGAACATTGTGAACATTGTACTTGATTTTCACTTATTCACATGAGAATTATTACCAATTTCATTTTAAAAGAGATATCATCATTGTTTTTTTCCCACGGTGAAATTGATTATATTCCTGTATCTCGCCTTCATTAGTTTTTAATAATATTGATTATTGACAGTTTTTTAATATATATGTATATATTGCATTTATATACTAGAAAAAAAAGCGCAAAACTTAAATGCGATAGATGATAAATGAGGACTTATACCAATACCAATAACCAATAAAGAAAGAATCAATAAATGTGACAAAACTGGTACAAAGAAAATAAACTGTTCATTCAAATTGCAGCCAAAATCATAGCGTACTTCAATACAACAAAGTTTTTGGCAGATATCTATACAGATTAAGCTTTTCAGGTGATAACATAATAATTGCGCAGAGCTCTGAAGGATATCCAGGTTAACTTGGCGAAAAAAAATACCTTACAACAGTAGAAGAGAAGATAGGCGATTGCCAGATTAACAGCAATGTAATAAAAATTATTTGGAGTGTATATACAATTGGGTGTGCAATTGGGTAAGGAAAAAAGAAGACCATAGAGTGTTTCGTAGTCATGAACATCATCAGATGCTAGGCTAAAATTACAATTACTTATTTTACATAGAATGAATTGAGATGTTGTATCACATAATAACTATCGAAAAGCACTATCGAAAAGCATTTGACTGCGTTAACCATCAAAAGATGAAATTCTGAGAACAACTGGAGTTGACGAACAAGACTTGCGAATTATCTCAGAACTATACTGGCACCAAACGGCAACAATTGAAATAGAGCACACAACATCCAAAAATATACAAATCTAAAGAGGAGTAAGACAGGATTGCGTCTTACTACCGCTACTGTTTAATTTGTATTCAGAGTCTATATTTAGAGAAGCATTAGATGAGCTCCAAGGCGGAATTAAGATTAACGGAATCACTGCATTCACTTAAAGAGTCATTGGTTGCTTTTTATTTTTAGGAGTGAAGACTACCTCTATTTAAAACAATTTGTTTTGTTGCTGTTTTTTACTCATAACTCAGAATTACCTAAAAAATCATTTTGTAGGTTTTTTTAAGGATAATAAGATAATTTCAATAAATTTTTTTAAACCCCTATTTTTGAAAGGGTTTTACTTGAATGAGCTTGAACGAGTCTAATCACGAGTGTATGCAAATTTGATCATCCATATCTTAACCAATTTTTGTCTTAAATAAAAACAAAAAAACTAAAATGTTCAGAAAAGCAACAAAAAAACTAAAATGTTCAAAAAAGCAAAACTTATATTTTTACTCTTCAGAATCACTAATACTTTTTAAGTGAATTTTAAAAAAGGCATTTTTTCAAAATTTAAAAAAAATTGCTTTAAAACCAATTTTTTTTCAAAAATAAGCACTGTGAACCAATTAACCCTACAGATCATGTAAACAGTACGGACAGTCAACAGTACGGACTAAACATTAATACCCACAAAACGAAACAAATGATTATCAGTAAGGAGAATATAAACGGGGCTCATCTATACATTAATGGGACGCAGATAGAGCGAGTAAAACAGTATTGCTACCTGGAAACTATTATAAACGAACAGTGGACCAATGTACAGGAAATAAAGTGCCGCATAGGAAAGGCAAGAACGGTCTTTAACAAAATGAGCGCCATCTTCAAAAGTCACAACATATCCCTATATACAAAAATGAGACATTTGAGGTGCTTTCTCTGAGATACAGACACCACTATTAAAAAACTTGAAGCATTTGAGATGTGGCTTTATAGAAGAATGCTGAGAATATCATGGACAGCAAGGAACATGAACAAGGAAGTTCTAGGAAAAATGAAGAAGGGACCAGAGATTGTGTTTACGATCAAACGCATAAAATTGCAATATCTGGGACACGTTATGAGAAATCAGCATCGTTGCTTCCTGCTGCAGTCTATATTGCAAGGTAAAATCAAAGGTAAGCGAGGACCCGGTAGAAGGAGAATATCATGGCTGCGGAATTTAAGAACATGGTTTAAGAAAACCTCAACGGAGCTGTTTCGAGCCGCAGCGAGCAAGGTTATGATTGCCAATATGATTTCCAACATCCGAAACGGATAGGAACCAGAAGAAGAAGATCATATAACCAATACAAAAACAAAATAAATTGTAAAGCGGTAAGAATTATTTTATTTGAGGTACTAATTAGGTTGTGATTTTCACTAGTTTTTACCAAAAAAAGGGACCAACTTTATTTTTTGCTTAACTAGCTTGGTTTTGATGCGACAAACTTGTTTCTAGTATTCGCTCAAAAGTGCTTCCATAATTTTTTGGTTACTTTGCGTTGAAATATTCAATTTGGAACTATCACCTCCGTTTCTACGAAATCTACAGATTTTATAAATACATATTTTTTGTTTTTTATCAGCTACATTTTTGCTAAAACTGCTTTTTTCGGTAAAATACTGACTTTTGAAATTATTTGTGAAAGACCGCATGAAAAACCTGGTTTTTATTTTAAAAAATGAACATTTTCGCTCGTAAATAACTCAAAAAGTATTGATTTATTAAACAAACTCTATAGAACAGTTAACTCAGAATTAGTCAATTTATCCATTTTCAGGCTTATTTTGAACGTATGTTTTCATACCCGAGAATGTCTGGGCTTTCACCCCCAAGTTAAAGCAACCATGGACTCAAGTCCAAAATTAAGGAACCTAAATCCAAAATTTCAAGCAAATCCGTCGTGACGAAGAAAATTACAGTCCAAAAAGGTCATACACTATCGTATAAAAGTTATTCAAATTGTTAATCCCAGAGGTCCTTTCTTGTAATAAAATGAAACATGAGATAATGAAGATATGGTAATTCTATCGGTATCGTATGAAAAGTGAAGATTTTAACTTACATTACACAAAAAAAGTTAAAAAATCATTTTTATAACCAAAAATTCTTTTGCAACCTTTATAATAATTAGTCTAATTTAGAAGATAAAGCTTAAAATTACACTAAGCAAGTTTTAAAAAGAATTAAACTTAAACAGTACAGTCTGTGAATGTTAAAAATGAGGCTGAACTAAAGTTTATTCGTATCGTGTATAAAGGAAAACTAAAAATTCAAGCGTTCAAAAAATGAAGTTTTTGGACCTCCTGTTGATGGATTTTTGAATCTTTTTTAATTATATATATTTTTTTGTGTACTATACAAATATGCAATATGTTAATAATATTATTAGTAAAAAAAACAATGTAATTTGTTAAAAAATTTCCCGGAAAATTCTATTTTTTATTGTATTCTAATTTAATTTTTGATTGTATTCTAAAATGTTTAGTCTTTGTCTTTAAAATGAGACTAATTATGTTTGTTAGTTATTAGAAACAAATTAGTTGTAATAAAAAAAAATCCTACTTTTTATCTAATTGTTAAAAAATAATTTTTTTTGTAATTCATGTTAATATTGTCAGCTTTTTGTCAACGTGAAAAAATATTTCGTCTACTAGTAATAGTTTAAAAGACATTCAAATCATGTAGGTGCTAAAAATAAGAGTATTTTTGAAAAACAATTTTTGGTTATAAAAAAAATTTTTTTTTAAATTTAAACTTTTTTTGATGAATTCAAAACCTTTATTTTTCATACGGTTTCCTTAGAATTACTGCATTTTAATTATTTTACGTCTCATGTTATTACAAAAAAATTACCACTGGGATAAATAATTTGAATAACTTATTGATGGATTGAGCTAAAATTTTGAGTTTGTTAAGTAAGTGATTTTAATACAAGATTCCCCTGTGAGAGCAATCACAAAAGTGCAAATTAATGATTACAAAATTTATAAACAATTAACGATGTTGCTTTATTTCGCTTTTGTTGGAGCAAAGAATTAATTAAAAAAAAAATTAGAATACGCAATTTGGAAAATTTTTCTATATCTTAACAGATAAAATATTTAAATATCAATACTTTTTTAATGGTAAGCGAAAATTTGAAAAAAAAAAACGCAGTTTTAGCACCTAATTGTTAGTAATTAAAAAACACGCCGAAATATCTGCGTGATTCTCAAAATGTATATGTTTAGGTTTACTATAGGTATATACCAGCGGGAAAACTCTCAAATATCTTCAAATACCCGTCAAATTCCTACTAAATTTGTCTTATTTCCCCAGAGTTTTCCCTTTTTTTTACATTTCTGGTAATGTTTCAATCTTGAATTAAAACTTTTAACTCTAATATTGCTTAGAATAATACTAACAAAATGCAGATTTTCTGGTCATATAATTTTAAATCCCCTTTTGAAAAAAAAGATATAAAGTTTTAGCAAGTCAGTAGTAGAAAATTGTTTAACTACGTACATCTTAAATTTTCTCTTCTACTTTTTGGAAATATTATAGTTGAAATTGTTGTTTTTACATATATAAAACATTAACACTCTTTGAGTTCGTTCAAACATAAATAAAAAGTACTTACCGGTGGTGGTTCAGAGGCCGAATACTCCGAAGGGGTGTACTCCGGCTTGATGGTAACCGTCGCCATGGATTCTGGTTGCGGCTCCTTTTCCATGACGCAAAACTTTTCGAAAGCACTCGGTATACTACTTAAAATATGTAAGAAAGAGTTGCGCAAAGCGGGTAAGTATTCCTCAGGTGTTTTTCACCGGTCGCTGTAACCGACTGGTAAGTAAAGTGATGGAGAGTTATCCTTGTAGCTGGTCCCCTACCATTCGTATATGACGAAATGGTAGCGGCAAAAGGATGGTAAAGGTTTTGAAAAAGAACAATTTCACAAATGGTTGCATCGAGAATGGGTGAACTATATAGTTTTGTTAAAATGTTATTTTATGCGGTAGTGTTTTAAATATATTATTATTAAATTTTCTACGGTAATTATCAAAAAAACTGACATAGTTTTTATTGTGCAATAAAAAATTATACAATGTATAAAAAGATACTGTTCAACAATTTATGTATAATAATGTTTCAAAGGAATATACAGGATGCGGCAAGATATAAAAAAAATTTTTAAAAAAGTTATAGGTTACTTTATAACTTTATATGAGTATTTCACTCCCTATTTTAAAATTAGAACAAAAACTGCAACTGTAGATACAAGCCCTTGAGATATTGAAAAAGGTTTAAAACTTAGTAGGTTAAAAACATATTATGGGGAATGTTCATTTAAAGATGGATTTAATACAAATAAAATAATAACTTCTTCTTCTTCTTCTTGATGTGCCTATCCGTTACGAATTCTTCTTCTTATGGTGCCTGTCCGTTCCGAACGTTGACGATCATTCTGTTATGGAGAGCATATCTGGATTCATTTCGCATTATATGTCCGAAGAATTGTAACTTTCGAAATTTTATGGTGATCAGTACCTCTCAGTTCATATTCATTCTTTTAAAGACATCCTTATTTGTGACTCGGTCAGTCCACGGGATCTTAAGTATTCTCCGATATAGAAACATCTCAAATGCTTCCACTTTTCGGCACATATCTTCGTTCAAGGTCCACGATTCAACACCATAAAAAAGGACAGAGTAGACCGAGTATCGCAGCATTCTTACTTTTGTATCAAGGGAGAGGTTGTGACTCTTGAAGAAAGCCCCCATCCGATTAAAGGTGGATCTAGCTTTTGCGATTTCTACTTTGACTGCACAATTTCTTCGCATCTTTCCCTTGTTTTTTTTTCTTTCGCTTCTCTGATTTTCGTTCTTATTAATATGTTTATGGTTTTATATTTGTCTGGGACATTTTTGGCTTCTCTTCTCTCGTCCATTAGCTTCAGGATCTCATCTGTCATCCATGATTTTTTGTTCATCAATCTATCAGTCTTTAAGTGTTTATCCTTTACATTTTGCACTATTTCTGTAATTTGTTGGATCGTTTCTTCTTCATTTGATTCGTCTCCAATTTCAGTCACTTGCTCCTTTAACGTGGCTTGGACTCTCATCTTCGTATCAAGGTCTTTCAGCATGCGCAGGTCGTATGATTGTGCCTTGTCTCCAAGTCTGCTCCAGGATATGTCTTGATAGATGTAAAGCTGTTTCGGAATCTTTTATTTACTAAAATGTGGTCTATTTGATTCCTAATAATTCTCCCGGGTCTATCTTGAGTTCCACGTGTACAGCTTGCGAGGTGGTAATTGGAAGAATGTATTAGTTACAACTAGTTCTGAGTCTTCTGCGAATTTTTCTAGGAGGTCTCCTATCTCTTTTCTGACTCCAAGTCCATATGCTCCAATGTACTGTGTTTTATCTCCAGCTCCAATCTTGGCATTAAAATCGCCCATAATGATGAGAACTTCCTGTCGAGGAATTTTCTGTATGAAATTGTTGATATTCTGATAGAACTCAATTGCTTCTTTCTCCTCTTTGTCTGCAGTGAAAGCATATACTAGGATGATGTTTATATTAATAGGGTTGGCTTCTACTAACATAACTCTCTCTCATATTGGTGTAAAGTTAGTAACGCATTTGGCAATCTTGAATGATACGATTATTCCGACTTCATATTCGTGTGATCCATCACTTTTTCCCGAGTAATATACCTTGTGATCTTTTATTTGTATTTCTCCAGAATCTGGCCATCTCATTTCTGCTATTCCCATGATTTAAATATTCATTCTCTTCATCTCCGTATTGCATTGTGGATTTTGCCTACTTTGTATAAAGTTTTGACATTCCATGTTCCTTGATATTCTTTCTACACTTCAATTTATTATCTTTTGGTAAACTCAAAACTATCCTTCCCGGAAACCCGATCGAAGGACTTACTCCGGAATTTATTTTAGTATTGAGCATTGCTATAATTGATTGACTAGGGCGTATCGCTTTGGATTTTTATTGGAGTGTTTGCCCTACGAGTGCTTCTCCATTCTTATGCCGTTGATTAAGTATTTGGTTCATCCGCCTTCGTGACCGATTTCACAACCTCAGAACAAAATTGTGCCCTACCACTTACCAACTCATCCGCACGAAGCCGTTGATCAGTAAGTGGGGGATTGCTTATACCGGCAATCGCTCGGTGAATGACTCGTCATACTGAATGACTCGTCACATTGTATAGTATGAGGTAGAAGGAAATATAGTGACCCATCTGCCCTCGGAAACCTAATAGCCATTCGGGGTCAGACGAAACAAGAGTTAGCCAAGAGAAGCTGATAGGGAAGATTAAAGACATTTCACTCAAGACAAGTTGAAAAAGAGTAATTTCATAAGCCTATGAGTATTAATGCACCTTGTGTTCTTGCTCATACCTCGGGGTATTGACTACAGACTGTATGGCTCGTCCAGCATGCATAGCATGGAGGATAGGTTGCACGTCATTTTTACAATGGAGACACCCCAACTCCATGGCGCCTGACGCCTACTAATAACTTAGGATGGTGATATTGTTACGATTTTAAATGTTATGGCGTATAGAACTGTAAATATTTTATGACTAATTCTTTTGTATTGATTCTCGTAATTTCTAGGTCAAAAATCTACCTGACATAATTTGGGTCCCCTTCGCTAAACAAACAACAATCGAATTTTCTGGGGACGAGCCGATAAAGAACATACCAGTTTTGAGACCGGTTGCCGCTGTGCCTACGTCGAGAACAGCATCGTATTTTCTACGAAATTCTGTTTATTGGCTGGATCCATATAAATAACGGGAGACTTTCATTGAGAAGTTAGTCATAAGAAGATCGGGAAACGCGATTTAAATGTAACGAAACGTAACATAAATTTGTAAAGTTATTTAATAAATTAGTAATTATTTATCGTGAGTTTTAATAAATTAGAATATAGACAATAAATTAGAATAAAGACAAATAAATCAGAACTATATAAATATACTACAATATTATTGTAAAAGCGAATGGTGTATTGTGTGACAGAAAGATTCCGATGAAACTGAAAGAAAAATTCTATAAAACTGCTATAAGACCAGCTATGATGTACTAAACTGAATTTTGGGCTCGTTTTTCATAATAGATTTGCTAGATTCACATTTTGGTGCTGTAGTTGCATCTGTTCGCTAAATAATCAGTAAATAATTTCTATTAATATTTGGTGCATTCTTCTTTTTTCCTGTTTTTCTTCTTCTTATGTACACATCACTCTGCTTGTTTTTCAATGTGCCTTCAGTAAGTTTGCCTTTCATCGTCTTCGTGGTCTTCCTACCTGATACAGGTCGTATTTCTACCGCGTATGTCATTATTGCTCTGATGACTGTTTTGTAAATTCTACCTTTTATTTCTTTCCCGATACTTTTATTTCTCCATAGTGTTTCATTTAGACTATTTGCGGCTCTGTTTGTCTTCTTCTTATCGTGCCCTATCAAGTCCCCTTGACGTTGGTGATTAACATGGCGAAACTGTCTCTGTCTCGAGCTATTCTAAAGAGTTGCTCGGCTTTCTTTACTCCTGTCCACTCTCTGATATTCTTCAACCAAGACGCCTGCTTTCTACCAATTCCTCTGCGTCCTTCGATTTTACCCATCATAATAAGTTGAAGAATATTATATCGGAATTTTTAGTATACGTCTGTACAGCCACATTTCAAAGGCCTCCAGACGATTAATGGTGAATATTTTTAATGTCCATGCTTCGACACCGTATAAGAGGACTGACCAAATGTAGCATTTAACCATGCGCTTTCGAAGTTGAAGTTGCAAGTTATCATTACAGAAGGATGACCTCATTTTTAAAAAAAGTCGTGAGGGCTTTCTCGATACTACATTTTATCTCTTGATCTGGATCTAGTTGTTCAGTAATATGGCAACCAAGATATTTAAAACTGAACACTCTTTGAATTATATGACCATCAACATATAATCGTGCATCTTGATGTGCTAAACGGCTAAACGCCATGTGTTTTATTTTTGAACAGTTTATGTTTAGGCCAAACTCTCTTCCCACTGTATCAATGGCATTTAAAAAGCATTGTAATCACTTAAAATAACTGTATCGTCTGCATATCTGATTGTATTTATCAGAATTCCATTAACTTTCACGCCCCATTCCAAATTATGCAGCGCTTCTTTAAATATTCTCATCATCATCATCATCACACAGCCAAATTTGTCCACTGTCGAACGTAGGCCTCCTCAAGATGTCTCCACTCTTCTCTGTCCTGTGCAGCTGCGATCCAGTTTGTCACTATTCTTTTAATGTCGTCCGTCTATCTGGTAGGTGGTCTTCCACGATTTCGCTTGTCTGCCCTTGGCCGCCATTCTAAAATCTTCTTTGTCCATCTGTTGTCTCTCTGTCTTGCGACGTGTCCTGACCATTTCCACTTCAACTTCGTAATCCGTTTTATGACGTCTTCCACTCCAGTTCTTCGCCGTTTCATTTCGTATTCGGTCTCTCAAAGTTACGCCAAGCATAGATCTTTCCATTTTTCGTTGTGCTACTTGTAACTTTTTTATTGATGCTTTAGTCAATGTCAGTGTTTCAGCTCCATAAGTAAGCACCGGAAGTACGCACTGGTTAAATGCTTTTCTCTTTAGCTTTATTGGGATGTTTTCCTTAAACATGTCTTTTAGCTTGCCATAGGCTGCCCATCCTAAAGCTATTCTTCTAGATAATTCGCATGTTTGGTTGTCTCTACTTATTTGTATTTCGTGGCCCAGATATATGTATTTGTCAATCGTTTCAATATGCCAGTTTTCTAGTTTCA